GAACTTGGTAAAAGCATCGATAGCAACTAACAGGTGTTTTCTTTTCGAATTGATGCACGGCAACGGACCCAAATGGTCAATGTGAACGGTATCAAACGGAATTGGGGCTTTCGGAATGCTATGAAGGGTACGGCCATGGACACTTTTAGGTACTGAATGCAGGATACACGGCAAACAATTGCGGATAAAGGATTCAACTTTGCTTCTCAACAACGGAAACCAGTACTTATCTTTCAGGTCATCAACACACTTATCAACACCAAGATGACCCAACTTTTCATGACACAATCTGATCAACTGTTCTTGTATTTGAGTTGGAGCATACAAACATAACCTTCCGGCATCATTCTTTCTATAAATTATTCCATCAATAAGTTCAAAACAATCAACGGCTTCTCTTTCTAATTTATCACGGAGTTTGACAATTTCCGGATCCCTAATCTGCTCGGTCTGTAAGAGTAAATCTATATCCCCAGGGGTAGCTCCAACTACATTTACTACGGTATCCATATTTACATCGCACGGAAGAGACGGTTTATACGCTTCGCACAGATTTACGGAACTTTCGGGAATAGCTATCGCGAGACGATTAACGAGATCTAACTGGTTTACGGAGTCACACGGACCTAACGGTTTTTCATTATCGTACGGGCTCGAGGATCTAACGGTCTTACGCGGATCTATCGGATTCATATGGCTAACGGATTTACACGGATCTATCGGATTCATACGGCTAACGGATTCACACGGATCTATCGGTTTCAAAGGATCGTACGGGTATATCGGTTCTAAAACACTATCATGAAGGGATTTCGGCTTAGTCGGAAGCACACACGGATCGCAAATTTCATCTATCACGGTATCTATCAATTCGGTTTGTCGACTCAAGGCATCAACGTGCGTCATACTAGCACCGGGTCTATGTACAATAGAGTAGTTATAATTTTCCAATTCTAAGGACCATCGTGCAATACGGGGATTTATGGATTTCTTACTTAACGTCTGAACAAGGGAATTACAATCGGTAACGATCCAGAACGGCTTGTGTTCTAAATGCACACGGAAACGACGGAGAGAATATATTATCGCGAGGGTCTCAAGCTCAAAACTATGATAACGCGATTCGGCGGCAGTCGCTTTACGGGAATAGAAAAAGACCGGATGTAACTTGCCATCATCTTGGCGCTGCATCAGCACAGCTCCAAACCTGTGGGAGCTCGCATCGGTATGCAGTTCGGTTTCGCTATTAGGGTTAAATAAGGAAAGAACGGGCGGACTTGACAATGCTTTCTTTAAGCTAGTAAAAGCTTCCATTTCCAGTTTTCCCATCGGGAACGGACCTCCATTTTTAAGCAGATCAGACAACGGTTTAGCAATACGTGAAAATGACGGAACAAACTTACGGAAGTATGAGAATAAGCCTAAACAAGAATGAAGGGACTTACAATTCAGAGGTTCAGGGTATTCACGAATGGCCTTTAGGTGTGTCTCGTTTGGAAGAATATCATTCGTACAGACATTGTATCCTAAATAATCAATGCGGTTTTTTAGGAATACACTTTTCTTGTAATTAATTTCAAGACGGTTTTCATTAAGACGGTCTAGTAATTTGGAAAGTAAAACAAGATGTCCTTCTACCGTACAAGTCGCCAGGATGATGTCATCCATATAAACATAAACCTGACGATTACGTATCATTTCATGGAGTACGTTGGAAATAAATCGTTGAAAAACGGCAGGGCCATTTTTTAGACCGAAAGGCATACGCAGGTATTCATAGTGTCCGTCAGGTGTTATAAATGGGGTGTATTTCACGGACTCGGGGTCCATACCGATTTGGTGGAATCCACTCTTTAAATCTACAACTGAAAAAACCTTTTAACTTTCGAGATATTCTAAGCAATCTTCGATCAATGGGGACGGAAAGTTATCTCTAATTGTTAATTTATTTAACGCTCGGTAATCGATGCACATGCGGATTTCTCCATTCTTTTTCTTGACAAGGACTATGGGAGATGCATAAGGGGACTGACTAGGTCTAATAATATTACTGGCTAACAACTCGGCAACTGTTTTATTAACAACGTCTCTCTCTAAGTATGATAATCTTCTCGGTGCACTATGAAACGGTGTAGAATCAGTTAATCGTATGCTCATTAAACATTTAGGCGACCCGTACGCGTTAGTTATATTATCCGAGTAATGCTTTATGATACTACTACATTCCTTAGCTGAAGAAACACCAAAATCGCGGCCTATATCTACATTATCAAGGTCAATAGACATAGCTCCACAAATGCTTTTCATATCAGAAAGCCAATCCGCGAGAGAATCATCAGGAACCAAGGGTGCATTCGGGTTTACAGAATCAATACTTAGTTTAAAGGGTTGCGTTTTGTCTAAAATTAATCTATTATTTATATCGCTAAGCAAGGATGCACAGAATGATTCATTAACGAAAGCAATACGATTATTTATTGAAATTAAATTTGATTCATTTCTTTCATGATTTCTTTTCACAAAAAGTTTAATATTGAGTAACTTAAGGGCGTCTCTGCCAAAGAGAAGCGCTGTAGGTAAGATGAGATCGGGAATAACGTATACTTCTAAATCGTGATACTTTTTCTCGAACAAAATTGAACAGGGTACTTTTCCGTACGTTGGTATTGATGTGCCACCAATTCCGCGAAAGGGACTTTTCTTTAGCTGATGATCTTCATTTAAATATGGATAGTATGACTTTCCCAAAAAGCTTATTGGGCTCCCGGTATCCAACAAAGCAAAAACATCTTTAATATCGGTGCATCCTGCTAAACTACTTAATCTTAAACTTACTAACTGAATAAACGGCTTTTCATCCATGGTTTCTTCAGCTTCTGGCAAAGTAAAGCCCACGGTGCGCTTGGGACACTGACGGTGCATATGGCCCACTTCGAAACAGATGAAGCATCCGTTGTCCGGTCTTTTCGGCTTCTTGCAATCTTTGGCGGTGTACCCCATTTGTCGGCAGTTGTAGCATCTAGTGTCTTTCGGAATTACGGCTCCTGGGCGAGGGATCATGGTGACGGCTTTACGATTGGACTCCAGACGTACAGACTGGAATCGCATTAACTTTTGATCATCCAACGTGATACAATAGTAGAGTGGAGCAGAGCGTCCACTGTGGTCCTCTAGTCCATCGACGATGTACTTCACGACGTCTAGGTCATCAAATTTGCCTTGCTGGGCGATATTACGCATTGTTGTGAAATACTGCATCAAGGTCTCGGACTTCCCAATTGTGCGTTTTTGCAGTTGTTTCGCAATTTCCTGGTTTGACATTCTGTTTCCAAAAACTTGGGTGAGCGTGGCGCTCATTTCTGGCCAGGAAGACACCTTTTCGTACAGCATGTATTGCCTAGCTGATCCTCGGAGAAGACGGGTGCCAATAGATAGGCATTGTGTAACGCTTAGTTTATGAACCTCGGCAGCTTTATCCAATTCACGGATCCAAACCTGGACCGACAGGTTGTCGTCTCCTGAAAACTCCGGGATCATGGCCTCCACATCCTTCAGATCGACTTGATGTATGGAAGCATTCGCTGTAGTCATGCCTTCCAATTCGGCGACTATCAATTTGAGTTCGGCTAGCTTCTTTCTAGCGGTGTACAGTTCCATCATCTGATTGATTTCCGACGTTTCGCGAGCCATTGAGCGAATGTTCTGCTCAATCGGTTCTTGCCTCGACATGTTCATAACGGTTTGCTGCGAACTTCCAGAAGGTTCCAATAACGGCGCCACAGCGTCGGCCATTTGCAATTTCTCACGGTCTTCGATCAGCGTTAGCATGCGGTTTGCAAGCTTCGGTGTGCTCGGGGAATCCTGCTCCTCATCTTGACCCTGGATCTCTGTGTCCTCGGCGTCCTCAATGTTAGCCTCCAGATTCCTTGCACGGTTTAACGCAGCACGGAGTTGGTAAATTGTTGCATCAGCCCCGAACATGATGCCCTTCTCGGAAAGGAGCTCCAGCAGCTCGTCTTTGGACATCTTAACAACCTCACTGTATGATAACATTGCGCAACATTTGGGCAAACCCCACACCTGATTTGTAAACTTATCAGTTTTTATTTAAAATTTTCAAATTTGGTTGCGCTTTTTTGCTCTTCTTCATCGGCGTCGCTTATTTGTAGTGTGCCCGTTCATTATTATGAACAATATATCTTAAAACTAAATCGATTAATACTAGATTGCACTAAATATACTAAATAACATTATGCACTGGAATTACACAGCTTACATAAAAAAAATCATTTATTTATTGCCGTGCAAATGCATTTTCATTTCAAAACAAGCTGAAAAACCAAGAGCAAATGCATTTTTTTTCAAAAAATCTGAAAAGCCAAGTATACAAATCTCCTTAAGTCGGAAATAACACTAAATAATAACACTGAAATTCAGAATTGATTTGCGTGTGCGGTCTCATTTTCCACTGAAGCGAGTTGTAGTGACATTCGCCCGACTTTTTCTGGCACGTGCTTTACCCCTGCAAGAAAAAGTCGTTGATGGGGAATGCGACCGTTGATGCGGGCTATAGGCTATTTAGCCTAGTAATCACATCGAATTTTCGTCGATGCTAAGAGTGAGCGAGAGGAATAAAGTCGCCTAACCCATTTCGTAGGTGTTGCAATTGGAGTCGAGTGGGAGCGACGTTATCGATAGTTTAGGACGATAGGGCGATAGCTGCAGCAGCGGGATGAGTCTGGCGGGCGATCTGGCCATTTGAAGATTAATCCCGGTTCGCTCTGGGATTACTTCAAATGGCCCATGTATCCAATGACCCAATGTCGAGAGAGGCCATGTAATATGGCGGGGGGCGATGATCAGCAGATAGCGTGATAGTCGCGGCCATACTGTCCAGCAATCAAGGCAGATGCAGCTAGGAGTGCTAGTAAAAATTTTCTTTGTGCCTTAAATTAAAAAGTGAGTTATGTGAAAGTTCTATTGTAGTTCGGGATTTAATATTTATCATTTATAAAGGCAGCCGGGGTCCCAATACAAAGGGCCCCGGAAGAATTTATTTGGACTCTACTGACATCGCCATACTTCGACATACCTACCAGCCCGACTTGGCTGACCAGCAACCGGTGTCAGTTCGACCCGTGCCAGCGACCAACCAGGAAAGCCTTCTACAATCGACGCCGACGACGTCAACACTTCCCGGTGAGTCCGTTCCGGCGTACCGCGTCCTCCTCCTCCTCTCGGGAACTTCCAGCGGTCGCATTGCGGCGCTGAGAAGTATCGCCATTTTGTCTGGCAGCCGAATCTCGGACTGCCCGTGCACCACTCACCGGAGGGCGCCGTTTTCCCGTGTGGAGATCCGTATCGCTGCTGGCCTCCGACGGGGAAGTCATCCGCCCGGGCTATCATCGCCTCCAGGCCCGGCCCAACAGTGGCTAAAAATTAGCAGAAATTAAATACACGTGTACATCGATTATATATATTGATATCTACTTACCTGTTCGTGAGTTTATCCGGAGTTAGACCCGAGAGCCTTATTTGTCCTCGTTGTTTGCCTAAAATTAAAAAGGTCGCGAGCATTAGTTAAATGGTTTAGCTTACAGTGCATTTACGTACCTTTTCGGCCTGTCCCTTCTTTTCCCTTGGAGCTCCTCAGGATTAGGTGACCATACACACGCGCATCGCGCATGTTTCCTTGAGGCCCGCGTTTCCATGCGAGCTCTACCAATACATGGCTGGTAGAGCATAGTTTCCGCGGCGCCTGTAACCTTTCCCAGCAAAGCGAATCCTCTGCTTTGACCGCGTAAATATCCGAGACGGCGGCCAGGTTTCGGTCTTAGAGGCTGAGGAAGGATAAATCTGTCAAGAGAAGCATGTGTATAAATGATTGTACTTACCATATTTATTAAACCTTTGTAAAACCACTATGTGTGAATAAGCTTTCCCAGTGGGGGAGATGGAACCGTAGCCGCAGTCGCGAGGAAGGGGCTCCTGCCGACTGCGAATGGGTGGTGCCCTGCAGCATCTTAAGGGCATCCATGGTTGGGTGGGAGCGCTTGGCTAGGACATCGATAGCCACCAAATGTAATCCATTTTCCCGACAATAATTGTATTTTTTGCTTTGTTTACGTTTTTGCCCTTAGTGATGACCGATAGATTAGTTAGTTGCGAGCTGTGGCATTAGGGGTACTCTGCCCTGAAGACGACTGAGCTAGCGGCACTGCCACCGAAAAAAGCAGTTCGTAACATATTGGCGCCCAAATTAAACAAAATAAATTGTCGAGGCGACGACGTCTCGCCCATTTATGACCCTGACGCCCCCGCCATCACGACCTATGGCTTGTAACATGGATTGCAATTGCTAGGGAGTGGTGACGGGGAAGTCAGCTGAGTAGGGAAGTTGGAAGTAGAACGGGAGGCACGTCGACATTGCCGACGATTTGCTCCTGGTCACAGGTTTACCAGTGAACCGGTGATGGCATCTTGGGGCAAACCAAGATTTGCGTCACGGGATGCACTGAAGAGAATCTGTGATAATTTCTGTGATAGAGTAGTTTTAAGGCTTGTATTTTGTTATTTGTTTATTTGAAATGTTTTTTTGTTAGGATGTGGTGTTCCTGGGTTTTTCTCCCCGTCCTGGACTTCTAATTTTATGTCGGTTGTGAACTTAATAGCGTAATCGTGACCCGTAGCAACCCTACGCGCTGCACGGTTACCTCGATTTAAAATAGAAAAAGAGGGCGGGAAAGAAAAGCCAACAGGAGCCAAACCGAGCCGATGTCCTTAACTGGCGGCTATCACCACGGGTGATAGCTAGTCCAGTTGACGAACGGCTAGGCGGAGACGGGAAAATCGGATTTTTGGAAAAAGCGCAAGACAGTTAGGTCGGAAGCCCACCGGCGAGGGTCTGTTCCATCTCCCCAAATCAAGAGTAGAGGAAGAAAAATATAATAAAAAATTTAGATTTTGAAAGGTGGTAGAAAGTGAGGAATATTTGGTTATTGTTATTTATTTTTGCTGTTAGTTATTTTCGTATTTATTTTGATATTTATTATTTATTATTGTATTTATTTGTTGTCTTATTTATTTATTTATTTATCACATTTATTAGCGTATTAGTAGTTCTTAAGTATTAATTTCAAAATTCTTGGGAAGTATGTCCGAGGGTAAGGACGCCAGGGATAGGCACGGCCACCAGCTCATGTCGATGGGTCCTCCTGGCGACGACAAGGACGATGTCTGGTCCACGGACGTACAGGGTGCTGCTGGGTTGCCGCGGATATCGCTGGCTGGGGGGTTACCCAGAACGCCGGTAGGCGGTGGTGCGGTGGATCGGATTCGGGATCAACCGGCGGAGCTGGAGCACCATCGGTCGCCCAGGGTCCTGGATTTCAAAGCTATCGTCGAGGCGCAGGATCGACTTCTGGTTCCGGAGCAGACGGCACCACAAAAGCTGAACAAGGAACGGGATACAGCGGCGGAGTCGGCGATGAACGCAGCTCTGGCACAGGCTGCCCAAACCTATCGCGCGTCACAGGAGGTAGGAGTGAGCCAGGCGTTGCGGGAAGAAATCAGCAGCGGATTCATCGACATGATGAAGTTGTTGAACGACGTCCTGAGGCCAGCCGAGAGCAAACCGCAGCCGCTTCAGGAGGGCGCGAGTCGCCAAGTGTCGATGGTGCCCACCCCGTCGTGTCCAGAAGGCGGCGCAAATGGCCCAGCGGGGATTCAGCAGCGGCAGGATATAGGAGGATGCGACCGAAGGCCGCCGGAATTGCCGCCCAGGCAGCGACCTCGACTGCCGGTAGATGACTCTCCAGGGATCGACAGCAGCCTGAGCCAGGAACCCGAGTATCATCGGACAGGCAGGAGCGATCGCCACGCACGGCCATGGCGCATCGAGGACCGAAGGACGGCGGATTTTCGGGACGAGCCGCGGTTATACGCCAACGCGGGAGCCGGCAACGGAAACCGCTACATCCGAGTGGACCGATGGAACCTCTCATTCGGCGGCGAAGACGATGGCCATTCCGTGGACGACTTCGTGTTCCGTCTGGAGTTCCTGCAGCGGCAGCATCAATGTCCGTGGAGTGAAGTTCTGCGCAACTTCCATGTTCTCTTATCGGGCAGAGCGAAGGAGTGGTACTGGGTGCATGTACGCCAGTCCAGAGTGGACACTTGGGCCCAGCTGCGCAGGGCTCTGATGGATCGGTTCCGTGGCCACCAGACGGAACACGAAAGGATGCACGAGCTTCTTCAACGTGAGCAACAGCCGGGAGAGAGCGCGGATGACTACATCCATTCCATGCAGCAACTCGCCTCACGCCTGAAAAAACCAATGCCAGAGCGGCAGTTGGTTAAGGTGGTGAAAAAGGGCTTGAGGGATGGCATCGCTAGATATGTTTACGCGATGGACGTACTCACGGTGGACGAACTTCGGGAAGAGTGCGTCGAAGTGGAGAGGAGTTTCGGTCGTCGAAGGCGTGCTGCTTACCTGCAGCAGAACAAGATACGGGTCAGCGAGGCGCACGTACAGGATGAAGTCGACGAGCAGCGACACCCGGAGGTGGACGAGCTACGTGGGCGAGTCCGAAATCCATTTAGGCCAGGTTGCTGGAATTGCGGGGCTGCGGAGCACGGATTCCAAGATTGCGAAGCCACGGAGTGGAGGAGATTTTGTTTCCGGTGCGGCAAGCTGGGCGTGATTTCTCCAAAATGTCCCGATTGCGCGGAAAACGGTCGGCTGGGCAGTCCGAAAGCGGGAGGGACTCGCCCAGGTTGGAATCCCGCGAAGTAGTTCCGAAGAAAGAAGACGAAAACAAGAATATACATAGTCCATCTGATAGTCATAAGTACTTGTTAAGATACCTGCCGGAGGATGAGAGGCTTCGCCGTTATATGGAGGCACGGAACCGGATCTTTGCGGAGCATCAGCTGAGCGGCATGCGTCTAGTGTCACGGAGAGTCCAGAAGGCAAGGGAGCGCTTCAGGATGAGGAGATCCAGACGACGAGAGGTGGTGGCGGCCGTTAAGCGCATTGATTCCGCTGATCCTCGACCCTTCGCCGACGTGGAGACCTTGGGCAAGCAGCTCACCGGCTTGTTGGATACAGGCGCCAGCGTAAGTGTGCTGGGCAAAGGCTGTCGAGAGCTCGTGGAAGCGCTGGGAGTTACCGTCCAACCGTATTTTTCGGTAGTCCGTACGGCTTCTGGCGAAGATCGATCCATCATCGGACGCTTGGAGCTGCCTGTGAGGTACAAAGGCGTAAGTAAGCCGGTCACGTTCTACCTGTGCCCATACCTGGAACAAACGGCGTACTTCGGAGTCGACTTCTGGCGAGCCTTCGGACTAGCTCCAGCCGTCGTGGGGAAGCCGGCGACGAGAGGCGTCAAGGCAGCGGAGGAAATCCATGCCAGCCAGATGGAGCACTATGCCGACCAGGAAGATGAGGACGAGGTAAGGGAGGAACCCGAATCCTGGAGCCTTTCTGCGGAGGAAAAGCTGGCGTTACGCAAAGTCAAGGAGGAGTTCCTTACCTTTGAGAGGGACGGCCTCGGAGTCACCAGCATGGAGAGGCATTCCATCGAGCTGATGGAAGGAGCTCGGGTCTTTAAGGATCGTCCGTATCCGATGTCTCCGGCGAAGCAGAAGGTGGTCGAAGACGAAATCGACAAGATGTTGTAGCTGGGTGTCATCGAGGAGAGCAAAAGCCCGTGGAGCAATCGCACAACAGTGGTGTCGAAGCCAGGGAAAGACCGGTTCTGCCTGGATGCCCGGAAGTTGAACGCCTTGACTATCAAAGATGCATACCCTCTGCCCAGTATAGAAGGAATCCTCTCCAGAATAGACCAGACGCATTACATCTCCAGCGTTGACCTGAAGTTTGCGTTTTGGCAGATCGAACTGGATGAGAAGAGCAAGGAGTACACTGCGTTCACGGTTCCAGGCAGGCCGTTGTACCAATTCCGAATGATGCCGTTCGGACTGTGCAACGCGGCACAACGCTTGGTGCGACTCATGGATCGGGTGATACCAGCGGAGCTCAGATCCAACGTCTTCGTCTACTTGGACGACCTGCTAATCCTGGCTCCAGACTTTCAGACGCACCTGAAATACTTGCGTCGGGTAGCCCACAGTCTGAAATCAGCCGGATTGACCATAGGGTTAAAGAAGTCGAAGTTTTGCTTCAAATCTTTGACTTACCTAGGGTTTATAGTCGGAGGTGGACTGCTGCAGATGGATCCTGGACGTGTTACGGCAATCCAGAAGATGCCTTACCCGAAATCCATGAAGGAAGTACGTGCCTTCCTCGGCACAGCGGGATGGTATCGACGGTTCGTCAAGAACTTCGCTACGCTAGCCGCACCACTCTCCGAGTCCTTGAAGAAGGCTGGAAACACGAAGTTTTCCCTAAGTCCCAGCGCCACCCAGGCAGTGGATGACCTGAAGTTGGCCTTGACGAGCGCGCCGGTCCTGGTTCATGCGGATTTCAAGAAGCATTTCTTCATCCAGTGCGACGCATCCCACGTTGGCGTCGGCGCGGTATTGTTTCAGCGGAACCAGGACGGAGACGAGCAGCCCATCGCGTTCTTCTCGGCCAAGATGAACAAACACCAGGTTAACTACTCGGTCACGGAAAAGGAATGTCTGGCGGCCATCCTAGCTATTCGGAAGTTCAGACCGTATGTGGAAGGGATGCCCTTCACATGCATTACCGATCACGCCAGCCTCAAGTGGTTGATGACAATGAAGGATCTTTCCGGACGACTCGCAAGGTGGTCTCTCCAGCTGCAGGGCTACGATTTCAGCATCGAACATCGCAAAGGCAGCGAGAACGTAGTCGCCGACACCCTATCCCGCATCATCGAGGAAGTCCGGATAGATCCAACGGAGTTACTGGGATTCGAGACGACCGAATTTGCTGCGGAGGACTATAAGGAATTAGTGCAAGACGTGGAGTCCAACAGGGAGCACTTACCGGACCTCAAGGTGGATGGCGGACTCATCTTCAAGCGCATGAGTAACCCCAAAATGGACGAGGAATTGGAAGGATCCGAATGGAAGCTGTGGATCCCGCAAAGCCTGACGCACAGCTTGGTAGAGCGTGCTCATTCGGACCCCAAGGCTGGCCATGGTGGGATGACGAAGACCTTAGAGATCCTGCGACGCCAGTTCTATTGGCCAGGGATGACCATCCAGGTACGGGAATACGTCCGGAGTTGCGAGGTGTGCAAGGAATCCAAAGCGCCAAACTTCCGGATGCAGGTCGGAATCGGAAGAAGGGTAGAGACGGAGAGGCCATTCCAGAAACTGTACATCGACTTCCTGGGCAAGTATCCGAGGTCCAAGAGTGGACACGCCTGGATATTTATCGTGGTGGACCACTTCTCGAAGTACATCTTCTTAAAGGCGATGAAGGAGGCGACGGCGTCGAACGTTGTAAATTTCCTGGTAAACGAGGTATTTTACAAGTTCGGGGTGCCTGAGACGATACATTCGGACAACGGCAAACAGTTCGTATCCAAGGCGTTTGAGGAGATGATCGATGGCTTCGGTGTACACCACATGAGGACTCCCGTATACACACCACAGAGCAATGCCGCGGAGAGGGTAAACCGAAACGTCTTGGCCGCAATTCGCAGCTTCTTGGACGAAGATCACCGGGAATGGGATGCACATTTGCCGGAGATTGAGGTGGCCATCCGAAACACTGTCCACTCAGCCACAGGGGAAGCGCCGTTCTTCACTGTATTCGGCCATCACATGTTCCTCAACGGTTCCAGCTACAAACTAGCCAGACGACTCAGGTCTCTGGTCGACCATGAAATGGCCGGAATGCAGACCAAGGACAAGCTTCGGGTTATCCACGCCAAGGTGCAGAAGCAACTGGAGGGTGCATACCAGACGAGCCGGCAGCGCTACGATAAGCGAGCCCGTACTCTGCTCGCCTAGCCAGGCCAAGAAGTCTTCCGCCGCAACTTCGTGCTGAGTGATTTCAGCAAATCTTTTAACGCCAAGTTTGCTCGCAAGTTCCTTAAAGCCAGGGTGGTCAAATCCCTCGGCAGCAATGCATACCTGCTGGAAGATCTCCAAGGCCGCAGTCTGGGAGTGTATCACGCCAAAGACATCCGGTTGTGACCTGAAAGAAGGACAAAACAAAGTATACGAGCATCGCGATCACATCTGCAATACTTCCCGTCATGCGTGGGCCCCGCGTTAGGCGCCGATCGAACTGCAGGGTGGTATCTCCAAAGCTACCAATTATTTCATCGTTCTGCTGAAACTCCGGGCAGCGCCCCTCGAAATCTTTGGTTGATGTTGCAATTGGAGTCGAGTGGGAGCGACGTTATCGATAGTTTAGGTCGATAGGGCGATAGCTGCAGCAGCGGGATGAGTCTGGCGGGCGATCTGGCCATTTGAAGATTAATCCCGGTTCGCTCTGGGATTACTTCAAATGGCCCATGTATCCAATGACCCAATGTCGAGAGAGGCCATGTAATATGGCGGGGGGCGATGATCAGCAGATAGCGTGATAGTCGCGGCCATACTGTCCAGCAATCAAGGCAGATGCAGCTAGGAGTGCTAGTAAAAATTTTCTTTGTGCCTTAAATTAAAAAGTGAGTTATGTGAAAGTTCTATTGTAGTTCGGGATTTAATATTTATCATTTATAAAGGCAGCCGGGGTCCCAATACAAAGGGCCCCGGAAGAATTTATTTGGACTCTACTGACATCGCCATACTTCGACATACCTACCAGCCCGACTTGGCTGACCAGCAACCGGTGTCAGTTCGACCCGTGCCAGCGACCAACCAGGAAAGCCTTCTACAATCGACGCCGACGACGTCAACACTTCCCGGTGAGTCCGTTCCGGCGTACCGCGTCCTCCTCCTCCTCTCGGGAACTTCCAGCGGTCGCATTGCGGCGCTGAGAAGTATCGCCATTTTGTCTGGCAGCCGAATCTCGGACTGCCCGTGCACCACTCACCGGAGAGCGCCGTTTTCCCGTGTGGAGATCCGTATCGCTGCTGGCCTCCGACGGGGAAGTCATCCGCCCGGGCTATCATCGCCTCCAGGCCCGGCCCAACAGTGGCTAAAAATTAGCAGAAATTAAATACACGTGTACATCGATTATATATATTGATATCTACTTACCTGTTCGTGAGTTTATCCGGAGTTAGACCCGAGAGCCTTATTTGTCCTCGTTGTTTGCCTAAAATTAAAAAGGTCGCGAGCATTAGTTAAATGGCTTAGCTTACAGTGCATTTACTTACCTTTTCGGCCTGTCCCTTCTTTTCCCTTGGAGCTCCTCAGGATTAGGTGACCATACACACGCGCATCGCGCATGTTCCCTTGAGGCCCGCGTTTCCATGCGAGCTCTACCAATACATGGCTGGTAGAGCATAGTTTCCGCGGCGCCTGTAACCTTTCCCAGCAAAGCGAATGCTCTGCTTTGACCGCGTAAATATCCGAGACGGCGGCCAGGTTTCGGTCTTAGAGGCTGAGGAAGGATAAATCTGTCAAGAGAAGCATGTGTATAAATGATTGTACTTACCATATTTATTAAACCTTTGTAAAACCACTATGTGTGAATAAGCTTTCCCAGTGGGGGAGATGGAACCGTAGCCGCAGTCGCGAGGAAGGGGCTCCTGCCGACTGCGAATGGGTGGTGCCCTGCAGCATCTTAAGGGCATCCATGGTTGGGTGGGAGCGCTTGGCTAGGACATCGATAGCCACCAAATGTAATCCATTTTCCCGACAATAATTGTATTTTTTGCTTTGTTTACGTTTTTGCCCTTAGTGATGACCGATAGATTAGTTAAGTGAGACCGCGAAGTTATCGATACTTATGTTGCGAGCTGTGGCATTAGGGGTACTCTGCCCTGAAGACGACTGAGCTAGCGGCACTGCCACCGAAAAAAGCAGTTCGTAACATAGGGTCTGTTTTTCAGAGCGGTACTCAGATGAGCTAAGGAAATACCAGATTTCGCGAGGGAGTTTCGTTCAACGCCATTAGACGCCGCGCAAACAATACAAAATTTTAACTTCCGGTATGTTCTTGCAGAATCGGTTTTTTAAAGACAAATTTAAAATGGATGACAAAACCCATTATTATTATATTAACTTAAAAAAACGATTAAAGTAACTCTGCTGCGCACAATTCAAATGGATGCTTCCCTTTGAATCACTCAAACAGAATACACCACTGCACCTTTCTAAAGCGAAAAATATCCGACTATATAATTTTTACTTGAGTAAAAAATACAATATGAATAAAATTTTTTTAGTATTGAAATCAATTTTAACGGACTAAATTTCTATAACTAAACTAAAAAATTATATTGCAATAAAAATGTATAATAAGTAAACATAACATTATAAGTAAATTCAATTTACTTAATTTTACAATAATCAAATAATTTACTTTCATAAAACAATGTTAGTTGTTTTTTAATATACAATAATGCTCCTGAAATATTACAGGATTCACATGCTCCACGAAAATTTTTCCGCCGAAATGTAGGTCGCTAGCCGAACATAACGGAGAGACGCAAAAAAAAACGGACCGGCCGAAATTTGTCGCTGTGAGCGAGGAGTGCAGGCAGATTATAAGACAAGAAAGAGAGGGAAATTTCGGAATACGCTCTCTTTATTGCACGACCGTTTTCGTAGGCAGTCTTCTACGCTGCGCCGACTGCTCTGCTGACGTCAACAGCGGCACAGCGTTTTAGGGAAAAAAAAAACAAACAAGGAAGAACGCTATAGTCGTGTATCTCGACTATCAGATACCCTTTACTCAGCTAAATAGAGATATGCAAGTAGCAAAGCGAGATTAAAATGCGCCACCTACCGGCGGTATACAGATTTAAGCGTTATGGGCGTTAGAGTGGGCGTGGCAAATTTTTTTTTGACCAATCGATAGGTATTGACGAGGCTAATACATTTCAGTTAAAATTTTTTATCTAGCATAAAAATTGTGGGCGTCAAATGTTTTCGCGGTTTGTGGGCGTTAGAGTGGGCGTGGCATATTCGCGTAACAAATTTGCGCTGCGTATAAGGCTACGGAATCTAAATCTGAAATTCGAATTCTCTATCTTTGATAGTTTCCGAGATATCCACGTTCATATTTACGATTTTTTTAAGTTTGTGGGCGGTTTATGGGCGTTAGGGTGGGCGTGGAAAACTTTTTTTTGGATCAATCGATAGGTATTGATGAGAACATTACATTTCAGTTAAAATTTTATTCTAGCATCAAAACTGTAGAAGCCACAGTTTTGTGCGGCTTGTGGGCGTTAGAGTGGGCGTGGCACTCT